CCGTCTGTCCGTTTCTACGCAAAGTAGTCCCTCAGTTTTAAAGCTATCTGATGAAACTTTGCACATAGTCTTCTATATATAGTCTCACTGCTATATATGTCGGAACGGGCCGGATCGTACGACTATATCATATAGCTGCCATAAAAATGTTCGATAAATTTTTAGAAAAAAAATTATAACTTCGTTTTTTAAGAACGTATTTTCATTACAGTACAGCAGTTTCTTCCGGAAGAGGTGGAAAATAGAGAATATATTAAGTCTCTTGACTCCTCTAGGAGAAATATGTGTTCCGTGTGCTACACACATTTTAGAACCTTCAAAGAGTTTGGGAATCTCAAATGCGTGAACGTGAAGTTTAACTGCGACATTCCAGAGTGTCAATTTAAAAGCACTTCAATTAGGGGCATAAATTCTCACAAATATAAAATATACAATAAGCGAAAGGAACCACCGGGACAAGATGGTAAGTAAATTTTTTTTCCATTAGATGTTTTTTAGACATTTGTATATTTTTTAAACTTTTGTTTCAGTTCAGTTCAGTTCCCATGTATTAAAGCGAATTAGACTTTTACACAAACGGCCACTGAATCCCTCCGCCCGTTTCTATGAGAAAATAGTACTCCTTTCTTAGGGAAAAGTCCGACTGGGTGGGCGAATCGAAAGAATCCAAGAATTCGATTTCGAGATTGCAGGAGCCGGGCGAATCTAATTGGGGGTTGGGAAAACTTGTGGGGAAAGGGAAGCAGGAGCAGGGCGAATCCGATTCGCAGCTCCAGGAGCCGGGCGAATTGGACTGGCTACGCAGATGGGGGAAGGGGGAGGGGGAGGAAAGCTCGGAACTCTGGGAGCAGGGCAAAACGATCGAGGACGAGGACGAGGAATGGAACTAGAAGGAGCCGGAATGGGACGGGGACTGGGACTCGGACTGGGGGAAACGAAAGGGAGAGGGGAAGGAGGACGAGGACTTGGAAAGCCAGAAGACGCACCCGCCGGAGACTCACCAGGACCAGGACTTGGCCGAATAGGAACTGGAATTCTGCTTTCAAACTGCCCGCTCCTTTTTGAATTGTTCTGCAGTTTGGTTACTCCATCAGAGGAATTAAAAAAGACGTCAATGACTGTATTTAAGTCTTTATCTGTGAATTTGACAAACAACAAACAAAGCTTCTATTTTGTTACTCATTTTTCCTGTTTCTGTTTTGAGATTCGATTGAAACGGCGCGCAGTAGCGCCTCTCGAACAATTAGCGTTGCAAAAATCAAAAATGTCATGTTCGCAAAAACGATTTTAACCATACTTATTCGACAGGAAATTTAGGAGCACATCCCCGCACTAAAGAAAAAGGATTGGATTTTTTTGCAGTCGTTTTTCTTAGGCGGACATAAATGCACGCAAAAATGCCTGAAGATATTGATCTACTCAAAAAGTTTTTGTCAGTGTATTTTCTCGGCTCGCACATTCTGTGTGTCGCGTGGGTGCGACGCTCGCAACGCTGGGGGTTGTTGTTGTTTTTTTTTTTTTTCAGCGAGATGCTGCTCAAACCGTTAGATCTCGTGCCCATCGCTGGTTTAAAGAATCCGACTTCTTTGTATTATTATCTTACTCTTTTGATCATTTGTAAACAAGCTTAAAAACAATTATGGATGCGATTTAACAATATGCCCTGTTCCTATCTCAGTAGATGGATTTTTATTCATTCGAATACATATGAACATATATGCAACACATTTCACTGCTGCCACTGAATTGAATTGTAAACAAATATGAAATGAATGCTGAAACATTAAGAAATATTATAACATATAACACTCTTATTTGTATCATTAACCCAATAGCGAATATGCCCATATTGTTAGGGTACCTAGCGCGAAAAGTAGCAAAAGACCAAATATTCTTGCTGGCCCGAAATGAAATGATCGCACACATGCACCCGTGTACGTGAATGCATGAACACGCATACATGTAAAGTCCTGACGCTAACAGCTGACAGCTAGCATGGGACCGGGCGCTAACAGCTAAAATCTAACAGACGGTCTGTCGCTAACAGCAAACAGTTAACATGGGACCGCTCGCTAAGAAATTTTTGTGTCCATTTTCGTTGTATGAAATGACCAGTCTATATGTTGTATGGTTAGTGCCGCAAGTCACTATCGGAAAAAGAGGGTATTTGAATTCGGCCATAACTTTTTTATTAGTTAATATTTTTTTATAAAAAAAAAAATTTAATAATTACCCAGAAAGATTTACTAAACAACGCCGGTAAAACATTTTTAATAAATATTCTTTATGGTGTCAAAAAAAATCGACAAAACTTCATATTTTTGCGCGGTACAACTGTAAATACCCCTTAAAAATTGACTGAGATATTATGGTCGCCAGCCCGAAAAATGTAGTTTTCCAGAAAACGCGTTTAAAGTTTTATGTTTGCTCTGTAGCTCCTGTAGGCTCAAACTTTTAAACTATTACGTATTTCGATTTGCCCTTTTAGTATGATATTCTACACACTTAAAGCTAACGAAAAATGCAAAAAAAAAAAAATAGAATTTTTTTAACAACCAGAATGAACCCTTAAACGTCTCTAAAATGTTTTTTTCCAACATAGTAACATTAGGAAAAGGTCCAATTGATTAAATTTGAAGGGCTTTATCATATTCTAAAACAAATTTCGAAATATTCGAATGCATATTCGCGCAAACACGATTTCTCATTATTTTGATACAAAACATCATAAAAATGGGCCTGTTTTCTTTTGATAATTACATCCAAACCGAGGCATTATGATTTGACTGTTTTTTACTAACATCACAAGAAGAATGCAAAATGTCGAAATAAAATGGATATATGGTCTTCTAATTTACTTAAATAGTAAAAAATTACATGCAAAGTATGATGATAAAAACTGTAGCGTGCGACCTGCGCGTGCGACACCTTTTTAAAAATAAATAAAAAATAAACTACGCTAAATTTCTGATTGTAAATAAAAGCATATGAAAATGACATTATTGCATAACATTTTAAAATTTGTTTCATTAAAATATTTCCAGCCGTTTCGCTAAAATCAGTGTTTAAAAGCTCGCCGTGTAAAGTGACTTCTGTCTTTGTCGCGTGCGAACCCTTCAATTTTTTTTAAATTTCTTAAATTTGAGCATACACTCAAAATCAACACTAGCACCAATTATAGCCCTAGGCAAGAGCTATAAGTTAATTTTTTTAAAAGAAATAAAAATAAAATGTACCATACTTTTTATTTGCTTTGAAAGCGTACGAATGTCGCGTGCGACACTATGGAAATGACCATATGTTGCATGTTCACGTGTGGGAAAACCGTCGAATCGATTTGTGTTTCCTAAGGACAGGTTAACCAAAAATATTGTGCACCAATTAGAGCTAAATCAAATTGAAATTAAAAGTATTTATAATTCAAATAATAAATATTACTGTTAAAGATTTAAGACCTACCATATTCATAAGTTTAAGTGTCCATGTTATTTACTAAGAACTTTGTAATATACTCATTTGTTAGCCACAGCAACGCGTGTCCGGGTCTTCTAGTTGATCATAAAAACAATGGAATTTGCCCGTATATTAAGAAAGAAACTCAACGAATAAAAGTTTGGCACGCCGAAGTTTGTATACCCTTGCAGTTTGCAATTGGATCAGTAAGAATCGAGCCATTCTGGTTAAATGAGTAGAAACAAATTAAAGGAAATATATAAAAGTTGTATATTTATACATAGCATATAATAATTTGGTTTTGATATTTATAAATTTAAATGCTAAGAACATACACAAAACAGAGTTTCATTACATTTTACATTTGACAGTTGCAGTTTTACATTCCCCTAAATTTTCCTTTACATTTTCTCTACATCTACCGATCGCTCCTATGGCAGCTATATGATATAGTAGTCCGATTTTCATTAAATTAAAACCGAAATTCTGAAATAATAAAAAATGGTCATATCTCAAAATTAATAATAATATGTCGAAAAACAATTAAGTTATAATTTTTTTTCTAACAATTCTATGGTCATTTGTATGGCAGCTATGTATATGATATAGTCGTCTAATACGGCCCGTTCCGTATAATATATGTATAGCAGTGAAAGTATTCAGAAGACTTTTTGCAAAGTTTCATTCAGATAGCTATAAAACTGAGGAAACTTGCGTAGAAATGAACAGGCGAACATGGCTAGATCGACTCGGCTGCTGATGCTGATCAAGAATAGGGTCGGAAATGTCTCCTTCACTGCGTTTCAAAGTTCTGACTGAAATTATAATGCCCTGCAAGGGTATAAAAGTCTCCCTAAGTCTGAGGAAAATATCTAAATTAACCATTGAAACTTTTCCTTAATTAAAAAAAAAAAGTTTTAGCTTTAGGGCGATTTTAAACAAAAAAAATGCTCATGAGTGTAATGGCTCCCGGTGCCGCGTCTTTTTAATGTTTATTTAAATTTATATGTGTGGCGGTCGACGGTTGGAAGGTGTGACCGTATCATTCGTCTCCCAATAATGCTGAAGAACATTTTAAGTGGTGGTCATACCTAAAATACTTGTTTGGTATATAGTGTAATCAATAGTGCAATCACATTGATTTAGTCATTAGTAGCCAAAAATATAAATAAAAGGCGATTTAAAATATAAATCAATAGCCGATGGGAAGATGAGTATCGACGACGTAATCTACGTGATATGCCTACTGGCCTGCATCGGAGCTGGGAGCTATGTGAGGAAGATTACCAATGAGGAGCACCGGAAATTGGTGTCCACCGCTCTGGGGGTGATTGTTGTTGTGATTGTTTCGGGACTGCACAGCCTGCATTGTTTTGCGTCCTTGGCCTTGGGCACGGTATAATGGCTCCCGGTGCCGCGTCTTTTTAATGTTTATTTAAATTTATATGTGTGGCGGTCGACGGTTGGAAGGTGTGACCGTATCATTCGTCTCCCAATAATGCTGAAGAACATTTTAAGTGGTGGTCATACCTAAAATACTTGTTTGGTATATAGTGTAATCAATAGTGCAATCACATTGATTTAGTCATTAGTAGCCAAAAATATAAATAAAAGGCGATTTAAAATATAAATCAATAGCCGATGGGAAGATGAGTATCGACGACGTAATCTACGTGATATGCCTACTGGCCTGCATCGGAGCTGGGAGCTTTGTGAGGAAGATTACCAATGAGGAGCACCGGAAATTGGTGTCCACCGCTCTGGGGGTGATTGTTGTTGTGATTGTTTCGGGACTGCACAGCCTGCATTGTTTTGCGTCCTTGGCCTTGGGCACGGCGTGCGTGCTCCTAGTGCATCCAAGGTGAGTATCTAGCGGTAAGAATCCCTTCTCAGCACCTAATAACACCTCAACCTCCCGTTTAGCAAATGCCACTTGGTGACTTTCGTTGTAATGTTTGGTTACTTGGTGTTCTTCCGACTGTTCGACTTCTACTTGGGCATCCCTGGCCACACCAACATGATCCAAATGATTCTCACCCTGAAGGTCAGTTGCACAACGAGCGTCTGTCTTTTGGGGCCGTTACTGAATTCAAAATGAATGTGTACAGGTTTCCGGCATTGCCTTTGAGAAAACTGCGTCCTGGAAGCGGCTGCAGGCACGGGACGAACAGAAGATGAACGATGATCAGCGGGATGTGAACCAGGAGAGCCTCGTAGAGATAACGGACTACGACGAGGATCTGCAGACGCTGACTGCCGCTGAGATTGTCCACTACAGCTTTAACTATATAGGAGTTCTTACAGGTAAGACGCTGCTGGTCAATCTATTTGCCGAGCAAAGTCCACTTTCGGCTTCAGATGGTAACACCACTCGTAGGTACTCAGCAGAAATTTCTGAATAATCGGCTTAACTATTTTCTCTCAGGACCTTACTACCGGTATCGCACATACAGGGATTACTTTGAGATGCCCTTCAAGACGCATGCCCCCAGCATTGAGGCCACTTTGGAAAAACTGAAGTATGCCGTTTTCTACTGCGCTCTGTACCTGACCACCAACTATCTTTGGCCACTGGATGTAGGTGCATTTCTAGGCATATTCTGAACTTAAGTAATCGCATTATCCGCAGTACGCAATGAGCGATGAGTTCTACAACGATCGCTCCTTCATTTACCGCCTGCTGTACGTTTGGCCAACATTCTTCACATTCCGTGCCCGTATTTATACGGGTCTGACCTTGAGCGAATGCGTCTGCACTATGGCCGGCTTTGGGGCTTACCCGGACGAGTCGGACCCGAACAATGGAGAGGGACCGCGTAAGCGCTATCAGCACCTAAAACGCGACGCGGAGAAGCACACATACAACTTTACAACAATTGTGAATACAAGGGTTCTGGAGGTGGAGCGCTGTTGGACCTTCCGCGAGGGAATGAAGCATTGGAATGTCTGTGTGCAGTACTGGCTGGCTGTCAACGTTTACAAGCTATTTCCAAGCAAAAAATACAGGTGTGTTTCAAGAAACAAAAACAAAAGTATATATAAGTAGTATTGCCATTATTATATCTTGTATTGTTCCTTTTGCTATCCTTGCTACTGATCCGTAGGGTTGGCAGGTATTCCGTAGTTTATAGCTCGTCTTTACGCTGTTCTTATTCTCACATTTAACGAATTAACTCCTTTAACTCACTCCTTTTAGAACTGGCGCCACGTTACTGTGCTCCGCCTACTGGCACGGCTTCCGGCCGGGACACTACTTCTGCATCATGGGGGCTCCGTTCTATGTTTCCTTAGAGGACATGTGGCACAAGCTGGTGCGGAAGGACACCACTGGACCAAGACGAAATGTGATCGACGTGCTATTCTGGTTCTTCAAGTGGTTTGCCTTTAGCTATCTAGGCGAGGCCTTCCTGCTCTCATCGTTCGGCAACATTTGGCGTTTCTACAGCTCTGTTTATCACATTGGCTACATCAGTTGGGCAGCCATGATTGCTCTCGGGCTGTTTCTATCCAGCCAGAAGAAGGCTGCCGAGCGGAGAAAGAAACGAGCCGCAGAGAATGCAGCTGGACCTGGCGGAGACGGAGTCCGTACTGAGGTGGAAAAAGAGAAAGCCCAGTAATCAGCAGGATCATTCCAAAATGGGTCAATAGATGTAGGAGCTGCATGAATCCGTCTATCAAGATTAAATGGCTCTTTCAAAGTTAGTCTAATTCTATTGTATATCTGATATCTTCCGAGAGATCTACATCTCTGTATAAATTACTATACTAAGGGTTTACCAAAGTGGTGCGTATTTATTCCGAGCCTACCTACAGTTATTAACAATAATTATATTCACTTTTCACTTGTTTAATTGGGAATGTAAGTAAGTACACGAGAAATAAATCTGCTTTCGGTTGAAGAATGTTCTTGATATTCCAATTATTTTTCTAAGGTTTGCAACAGGAACTGCTTCTGAACTGTTAAATACATATGTTTCAAATATCAAGGTATCAATTTTCTAATTTCTAGCTTGGAAGAATCGTTTGGGATGCATGTTTAGAGGAAACGTCTAACACGATATAACGCCAAAAATGTTGCACCCAAGATCACACAGACAGGTCCCGGGTATTGAGAACTCCAAGACCGAGGGTACAAAGTTCGGGACCCTTCCCTTACTTATCTAAAAACTGCGGGTCGTTTGGAAACCTAACCCATCAATATCACCACTCCAACTTTCCTCCAAGTACCGTAAAAAAAGAAGGTCTATCCTACAAACAAATTTTTAATATAAAAATTAAATATTTAGTTACAATTATGTATTGTTTTTACTAAAGACACGCCTTTTGTAGAGTAATACTGAAATTTGTTTTAGAAATGTATTAATACTCTCCCATAATACCCTTTTGCAACTTGTAAGGACATAAAAATATCATTTTTGTAGCCAGGAAAACCCTCTATGGCCTTACTTATTTTGTGATACTCTGAGGATACCAGCCCAAGATCACAATGTACTAACTCTGCTAAAAACTTTATTTTCAACAAAAGTAGTAAAGGGAAGCTATATTCGAGCGCTACTGTTTGAAAATCCTTGAAATTGGATAGTTAGAAATCGATCCACTTCCATTAAATTAAAGGAAAAACCATACTTAAATTTCAGCTTTAAAGTAAAGAAAAATAATCTAAGAATCTAATTTGTTCATGTTTTCAAGTTCTCTTTATTAAAAAAACATTCTTTACCACTACAGGTATTTCCACTTGGGCAAACTAGAAGTTTACCAACATTTATTATCGCGGATAGAATACTTAAAATTCGAGTGAAGTGTAGGTTTTTGTTGTTTCAGAAAGTTCAGTGCAAAAGTAAAGCGGTTAAAGTTCGGGGATTCCCTAGAGACAACAAATAGTTAAGATGCCACTTTTCAAAGACCTATCACAATTTATTTCAGCTAAATATTTTCAAGTCTCTAGGAATTCCCTGAGCACAACCAAGAGTTACCTATTAAGCCTTTGTCTTTGTTTGTGGTTTTTTTCTATTCGATACCAGCTCGAATTTGATCTAAATTCAATGCGTTTCGACTTCAGTTGTGTGTAAATGTAGCAATTTTGTGTATTCAAACGTGTTGAGCATGGCAAGAGAGATTTCCTGTTGCAGATGCGGCTCATAATGCTGTTAACGTTGCGTGAATCGGTGGACGTCACGCCGAGGAGGGCTCATCGGTGACCAAGGACAGGCGACGTTTCACATCCTGCGTTGTGTTGTAGGCTCCACAGTGCACGCACTTGAGCCCAATGAAATGGAATTTGGTTTTGGAAGTCTGTGATGAAGGAGGGAAAACAATACATCGCTGTTCTTAGCTTTAAAACAATAAAACATACCTTGTGACAATCGTTGCAGAAAATGTGCACTCGCTGATTCTCATATTTCAGCGCCACCGGCATTCGTTGGGCCTGGTCATCCAGGTACTCCCACAGTGCAGTCATGTCGATTAGAGAGGTCTGGCAGGTGGGACAGGTGTAATGGCCCGAAGCTAGCAGTTGGTCGAAGCACATCTTATGTAGGAGGTGGCCGCAATCGGGAATGTGGCAGGGAATGCGCGACGTGTGAATGTCACCTAGGCAGACCGGGCAATGGGATCGAGAGATGTTCTCCACGCACTGCGGGGAAATAGGAGTTTTCACATTCAGTTATTTATGTAAATTCGATTGGTTTTTCGGTGCCAGCTACGAGGTTCCCCCCTAATTAAGCAAGCTATCCCTCCAACAGTTTTGACATCCATAGCCACTTAACTGGATTGCGAATCGGCGAATGGCTACAAAAAATATTTGGGTAACCGGTTTTGGATAATGAATTGACATAAAATTAATATTTTCGGACGGATTTGCTATTTCTTTGAGTACTTTCAAGTCGCGTTGGAGGTCGATACCCACTTACAAAAGTAAGAAAATGTGTCCACTACACTCACCCTGTGGCCATCGATCTTCAGCTGGATGGGCAGACACATATTGCAGACCTCGCAGTGGAAGAAGTTCTCAGCTCCTCCAATGCGACATATTCCACAGCCATGACAATGGTACTGCTTCTTGTCCGCATCATCGAAAAGGTTGCAGATCAGACAGGTGTACTGTAAGAGATGGAATGCGTTACATTTTTGTATTAGTCCGTAAGATCATAAGTGCAATTTTGACACCTCGAATTATTATTTGAAATCTATTGGAAATTGATATTAAATATTTATATTTGACATTATTTTAATGGATAAAAAGACTATTGTGATTTCAGAGTCAGTAATAAAAAACTAACATATATTATTTATTTATTTAACAGAATTAAATCTAATATGCAATTTTAAAGCTTATGCAATTTACTGAGTACTAGCAAAAGGGGCACTAACATGTATATATTAGTATTTAAATAATCTATTCACCAAAATTAATCAAAGTATTTTTATATTTCTCCCAAAGAATCAAATCTAGAAAGTTGCCACAAATTCAACAGCTTTTCATTAACGAGCTAACAACAATCCCGTCAAAACAGACTCTCTCGCGATCTCATTCCTCTCTCAAAAATAAGGTTTACAGAAAAGTGATGAATAGCTGAAAAATATTGCTGATGATAATATTTAAAGGTAAGATGTGTATTGTAGTATACTTTAAGAATGATTTTCTCGAAAGTTTTCAGTTTTTTAATAAGCATATTTACAGAAGTTCATTTCAGGTGTGTAATGTACTGAATGTTGTCAAACTGTTTAAAGATTCTGTATATGTATGTGGAAAACCTCGTTCGGAAAACTATTAGTTAAATCAATCCCTTTTCATACGGGCTTTTGTAGCAGATTTTCGATTCTGTCATATTATCATCGCAGTTCAGAATTATTCTAATATAATATAAGATAGCTGTGTTGGAAGAAATATTACCTTGCCAAATCGGACGCCGCAATTTTCGCACTTTTCCCGAACTGTTTGCCGTGTGTTGCATTCGGAGCAGATCAGCTCGGTGAGGGTCTTGCGATCAAAGTGATGTGTCTCGTTCTCATCATGGCAGAAGCGGCACTTGTAGAATTTGTTGCAGCAGGGCGTCTATTAATAAATAAAAAACACAAAACATAAATTAGTAATGGAACAAAATGTGATTTTTTTTAAATTCGACATAAGTATGGGCTACGCTAAAGTCTTACTACGTCTTTCTTCCCCAGACAAGGACTGTCGAATATGGACTAAAAAGCATATTTCATTAGCAGACCACGCTGACACGGCCCCTAATTTCAAAATGGATTTGCTAATTAACGAAATCTGCTGGGAAACCGCCCAAGACAAATGGTAGTAAACGATGAGCGACGAGACTGTCCCTCAGAGCCTCTTCGTTTTACGTCAGATCTTGGAGTCAAAGTTAGCAATATTATAAACAACACACGAATGAATGGACTAAAAATTTATATGAACTATGAATTCGGATACTAATTAAATCAGCTGGTAGCACTAAATCCGCTTGTAAAGATCTAAAAAGCTACTCGGTTGGTTCATTAAATATATGTTAAATGCTTCACCCGTTGGTATTTCATATTATCAAAATTAGCTTATGATAAATACAGACTGAATCTGTATCAAATCGATTCGGTTTTTGGGCCAATACATTTTCACGGGGGAGGTTTAGTTTTTAGTGGAACCCTATTTTTAAATTCATTGCGTAATGTGTACTTGGTTTCAGGTTTTAGGCTTAATAAATCCTTATATTTAAATCCGCTCCATAAGAGACACGTTTTGCTGTTTAATCCAAGTGTTTATTACTAAATCTACATTGATTGTGACTAACTAGTCTCTCAGATTTGGAGCTATCTGAGTAAAACTTAAAATATAAATGGCGGATGAGTCTGGTTGGACTTTATTATCACATTGGGGGAAAAGTATAGCTTTATCGTTTTCAACCTATCTATTCCGAAATATGGCACTTGTAAATGTTCTCTAAATTACAGAATTTTCCCGTAAGGTCCCTAAAGAAGGATCAAAGAGAAAATTACTACTGAAAAATGTTCCGCCCCTATTTATCCCATTAATGTTAGGATGTATGAACTTCGGCATGTGAAGATAGTTGTCTCCTTTGATCTTTTTTAATGTAATTAATTATATACAGTTTAAAAAAGTTTAACAAAAAATAAGTGGTATTCTGAATTGCTTTCGAAATCTTTCAATGAATTTTTTAGTTGAATTCATACACGAATGTATAAGATAGGGTCACCCTTAATGTCTGTTCCTAAGCAATAGACTTAACATTTAGAACATACAATTTTATAATGTAATCCTTGTTATACCCGATATTTAGGGTAAAAGGGTATAATAGTTCATTACCAAACAAAAAAAGGATGTAAGAAACATATGGAGACATCTTGTACCCCATAAAGGGTATATATTCTTGATTAGCATTACCAGCTAAGTCGATTTATCCATTTTCGGATGTCTGTATGAAAGAAACGGATCTCAGAGACTAGAGCTATCACATATGGTGCCGATCATCTGTCAAAGATCAAGTGTGTTTCAAAATTCAGGACATTAACAAATAACAAAATAAGTCCAGGTATAGTTACATATGCACGTATGTATGAGTTTGTATCATCTGGGTACACAACGCCTATATCCGTCTCTACTATCATTCAGAATTATTTATAACTTAAAAACACTTTTTATACGTACATACACATGTACATATGTTTATAAGTATAAGTATAAGTATTTACCCTGCAGTACCATTCATCAACATTTCATCAACGTTTCATCAATAGCCGAAGCGTTTTGTTGATGATTAAGCGATGAATTGCCATACAAATTACTGATGAATTTAACATGGGCATGTCATAGGCTGTCATCAACAGCAATTCATCAACATTTAAGCATCATTTCATCGATGAATTATTGATGAAATACTGATGAAAGGCTGATGAAATGTTGATGAAATACTGATGAATTACTGATGAAATACTGATGAAATGTTGATGAAATACTGATGAAATGTTGATGAAATACTGATGAAATGTTGATGAAATACTGATGAAATGTTGATGAAATACTGATGAAATGTTGATGAAATACTGATGAAATACTGATGAATCATCAACATTTCATCAACATTTCATCAGTATTTCATCAACATTTCATCAGTATTTCATCAACATTTCATCACTATTTCATCAACATTTCATCAGTATTTCATCAACATTTCATCAATATTTGATCGATGAAATGATGATGATTCTTCGATGAATTATTGATGATTTTTTTTTTTCATATATAATATTAAATTCTTGAGATTTTATTAATATTATTTATTCTTACTAATTCTAAACCAACACTAAGACACAAATATAAACAATTAACATTAAATCCATATATTGAAAGGCCTCAGGGTCTGTTTGCTACTCGGTTTTCCACTTTTTATTGACGTAGACCAAATTTTTTGCGCAGTAACTTCTCTGGAGGCTCAGTTCTATCCACTTGGGCAATTGCATCTACAAAAAAATAATAATTAATCAAGGGAATAATAATAATACAATTAAATAGAATTTACCCAAAAGATCCTCGTTTCAATATGTTGGCCATTACTGCGATCAGAAAAGAAAAAAATAATATATTATATAATATATAATAATTAAAATAATACACATAGGCTTTTATTTAATTAAAAACACTTCACTTTACTCACCTTTTTATATATTCCAATAAGGCCCGGAACGAATTTATTTAATAATATATTTATTAATTAATGAAACACACGACACTTCTGCAGTGCAGAGCACTTCAACTTCGAATGCAAAGGGAATAAGAAGAAGCAAGACAAATCGAAAACCGTTGCTCCGAAAATATGGAGTCGAACCTTCGAGAATCTATTTTAATTGCGTCTTCTACTTTGTTTCGGACTTCAAAAAACGAAGCCCATGCAAATTGTTTTTGTTTTTTTTTGCATGCACCGACAAATCGGACTCGAAGGGAGTTCGGGTCTCCGAAGGGAGTTCGGGTTCAAGTAGCAGTCGGCAGAGCGTCGATTCTGTCGGCGTCGCAGTCGGCGCGTTGATGATTTGTTGATGAAAAAGCCTACTGATGAAATGTGGTACTGCAGGGTATTAACTCCACTGTGTTGATAGCATTTGAGGAACAGAAACTGTGGAGAAGAATCTTCGAATCCGGTTTCTTTGTGTTTCCCCTCGTTTTGTTGACGCGCTTAATTTAAGATTATTTTTTACCTTTTTTGTTACTGTAATTCCTTAACTCCAGACTAACCAAATTAATTTCATTGCACAGAACAGATGAGCAAAAACAAACGTCAAATTTAGGCGTCGATGAGAAATAAAAAAAATATTATTTGGAACACACAATGCAAATGAGAGTTTAAAAAAATGTCGGACATTGCGACACATTGGGTTTCATTTTAAATTGAGCTTAAGTCCACAGGTACCTATATACTATATATAATTTAATTTCTTGCATTGTACAGCCAAAATAAATATTTGAGTTCATGATATCTCCACCTGATTCAACAGTAATGCGACCTCCTCAAGCAAAGCAGTTAAAAATATATACTCTTCTACAAACCAAAACATATTTTTCAAGTCCCAATTTAAATTCGAGAGGATTTTTTACAGGACTGGACTATATTTAAGAGTAGTTATAACACTTTCTTTAAGCTAAAAAAATATGTACGATATTTGCATTTATGAAAAGTTGGCCCAAAACTAAGAAACAGATTATAGAATTAAGAAAAAGTTCACATAAATTTATGGGCAACATAAAATCAAGGCAAATACAATTTATATACCCTTGCAGGGTATTATAATTTCAGTCAGAAGTTTGCAATACTGTGAAGGAGACATTTCCGACCCTATAAAGTATATATATTCTTGATCAGCATCAATAGCCGAGTTGATCTAGCCATGTCCGTCTTTCTTTTAATACCATGTAATATTTGGCTGCTCTCGTCCTTAGATTTCTCACTTCTATTTTTAATTGTATAAACAGCTCCGCCGGGATACAAGTGCAAACACGGGCACGGTTGGCTTTGCTCCGCTTCTTATTCACAACGCACGCATTTTCGGGTAGCTGCCCCAGAGGCGAGTGGCCATTTAACACTTCCATTTTCCCTTGATGTGAACAAACAATGCGTTTATCTTATCCCGAAACTGTGTGTTCATATAGAGCAATCGTTCCCAGACTATATACAGATATTTACTTTGCCAATTAGGAGCGACCGACATATTTATCGGAAGGTGATAAGTACGGGATGTATCTCTATATTATTTTTTAAGTAAGGCATCAATAGATCGCTTCTGAAAAGTAAGCAGTTCCAAAGAGCTTTACAGTACCTTTCGATCACATTATAAAGGTGATTTTTAATTTAGGGCTTTATTTACTAGTCGTCGTCATGGACGTGGCACTTCGGTACTCTATTTGTACCCTGGAAAAACATTTCGTGCCAATAATGAAAATTACAGCAAGCACAAAAAACATTGACCGTGGAATGTATCTGTTTAGACTTCAGACACTTTATTTGATCATTTGTTTAAAAACAAATAAATAAAGTTTAAATGCCCATTCAGGCGAGAAAGAATAAGAAGATGGACGTATACCAAATGGCTTCCGTTTGGCGCCGTTATAATTTCAACAAAATCGATGGATCCATAAACATTTAAGAAGGGTTCTTCCATATTTTTATTACAAATTATGTACAATGGTGAATGGTTATTCTTCCAAGAGATCAGTAATTGCTACAAACGTACATACTTGAAAGAGGCAATTAAATGGCATTTGGTGTGATGAAAATTATAAAGAAATAAATTCGAATGCTCATCTGCATTCCCAAAAACATATGGGATACCCGCATATCATCTATTACGAATGATTATGGTATAATATGGTAACGTTTAATTGGTTTTGTTCGTTTTCCAATGATATTGCGGCACAACTAATTTTTTCTTGTTATTTTTTATATAAATTCAGGGTATATGTAAATATCTAGAAAAACAGTTATACATTATTTCTGTTCATTTTTCGATCGTTCCTGTGGCGTTAGGTTAGGTTAAACTGGACGGTCCTCTTGGGGCCATAAGCCATAATGGCCCTTAGTTGTCCGTCTTTGTAACGTATGAACCTGTAGATTATTAGGCAGTTTCGAGATCTTTGAGGATCGATGTGTTCTTGGCGAAGGCACTTAGTTCGCCTGGTGTCCTCTTGGAGGCATCTTCTAAGGATGCCAGCACTGGGGCGCCAAAGTGTCTTCATCTTGAACGCGATAGAGCCCGGCACTTGCAGATTAAATGATCCAAGGTTTCGGTGGCCTCGGATTCATCGTATTTCTTGAAGTTTGACTGCATGCGTCGCAGTGGCCTAACTAACACTAACATCCTGCAGTCCTTTCGTGGTAGCACGTAGAGAGACCGAAGATAACCCAACCTCTCGAGCAACCAAAATCTTTCCCGGGGTAACCTCACACAAAAAACTAGTAAGAAAGCTACAGTCAAGAGTGACCGAAGGGGGGATACCCTTTACCCCAAGCTATGAGGGTAAAATGTTGCTACAAACATGTTGTCTGATAACTTCCATTATTATTATCCAACATTTATTCAAATTTTCAGATAACGACTGCGTCGCTGTAGTTACTACTAAGCCAAAGGCTAAGGTATACAAATTATTTAAATTGTACTTACCACAAACATGGCCCGACGCTTGTAGTGGGAGCAGCCGAAGCGCAATGACTCCGCTGTTGGTGGCGTGGCATTGCTATTGTTGCTGTTCTTATGGCTGGGGCTGGTGATGCGTGAAAATTGTTCATGTTGGTCCTGCACTTGCGTAGCCTCCGAGGCGGGATTCAGGGGTGAAAATGTGGATATGCTGTGACAGTCGGACTGATCCTCCTCCATGGGGCACCTCGTCCCGTCAAAATTAAGACTCGGCGTCGATTTGGATTTTCGCAGCTTGTAGCGCAGTGGAAAATAATCAACGGCCATTATTGTAGGCGACATAATCAGCTGCTGTCTTTGCTGCTGGCGAGACTGGTGTTGTTGCTGCGGCCGCTGTGCGCTTACATATAGATCTGGCTGCTGCTTCTGATGTGCTATCTGAGCGGCTGCTGGAGGCGAAGCGGGAAGAGCAGCCAGAATACCAGCCTCAGCCGCAGCGTCAGCCTCCGTTGAGGTCGCCGCTGCTGTAGTTGTCAGCAGCGGCTTTGACGATGAATTTAAATTGACTTGATTGGGTTCTTTTGTATTGGTAAATATTTGTACATCATTGTGGCCGCTGCCCAAGTATTTTTTGTGGTTTTCATTTAGCGATATTCGGCGCGGCCGAAGCTGACGCTTCTTCATTTTGTTGCAGGAGCTAAATGCCTATATTTTGTTGCTTATATGGGTATGTGATTTTCCAGTATTGGTTCGCGTCGGCTCCTCCTGCTCCGTTGCAGTGGTCTCTCTGTTAATTGATGCCTCCTCTCCAAGTGCGCCTGAGAAGCATTTGAATAATTTGTCGATGTATGTAGACTTTGTATCGTCTACGCGACAAGCTTTAATTAAAAACTCTATCTGCTCGCCCCAGCTCGAACTCTCATTTTCGGGACTAACTTTCATGTATGTATTTATTTCCTCATGTATTCATAGGCTGTCGTCCAAATTTCGGTTGCCCAATGTGACACTGGGCTGAGAGCGATGAAAAAAAGGGTTTGGTAGGAGTTATTTGGGTTTCATATTGTTAACACACCAATTGTTTTAACTTGGTATACATAAAAGCCAGAGGCATCAACCATATTCTTTTCACTATCTTAATAATTCACAACACTAATAATGTTTTGTGCCATTTTCCTTTAAAAATAATCAGTAACAATGAACAATTAAACTCCAATCAAAAAAAATCTATTTTTAACTTTAATGAAGTATAAATAACTGAATTAATGAGATGTTTTTATATTGAAACCATAATTCCCCTCAAGTAGTGACTTTATAGGTCGTTCTGCATTGTAACCGAAGTCTCTGTGTCACATAATAAGTAGTAAGTAACACATGAATATTTTCGCTGCCTGGGCCCACGGTGCGTATGAAATGAAATGGAAAAAAAGAAGGGTTGCAAAAGAAAACAACCCACACTTGTTAACATAACCGGCGCGGCGTGCGACTCGGCGAAACTTTCGCTCAGTGGTTATTGGCTTTGCAGGTGTTGCTGCTCCTCCTGTTGCTTTGGTAATTGATGTTGCAGCAAAAGCAATGACAACACACAAAAGCGGATCGGATCGGATGAGCTTTCGGCCTGGTGGTTGCTTCTTACTTTTCGAAGCGGCTCTAGGCAAATAGCCAGCAGATAAATCTTTGCCCGAAACCTTGTTTATTCAGATTACTTTTCGCAATTATTAAAGAGAGAGGAGGATGTGGCGAGCACGTTCTGAGTAAATATTGAGAGTGTGCTCAAATTACAAGCGTAAGTAAGGCGATAAACACGGCTCCAGCGGAAAACCAGTCGCCCAAAAATGAACGTGACTTTGCTTTTCAATTAATATTGAGCATTCGATTGCTGACACGCACACAGATCCAAATTGCACTCAGTCGAGCAGACAAACTGCATAAAATAATGTCACGATCTGGGTAATCGGTTTCTGAAACTTTACAAAATCCGAACCGCCTTCGAAATGAAGTTTGGGTTTAATTTGCACGCACCGATAAATTCATTAACGCATTTAGATACATACATATGTACATAGTTGTTCGTATGTATCCACATTAATTTTTATATGGGTTTTATTTAACTTATTTCTTGATTAACGTGTTTTTCTTTTGCCTTTGTACTTTTTGTGCTTATTTTTGTTGTATCCTCTACATCTTCTTCGCTTTTATTATCAGCTCCGCTGTGATTTTCATAGAAACTGAGACTTTAATTACTAATTTTGCCCGTTCGTTAATTATAATTTATTATCAATGAAACCTAAACTGGAAAGTAAAACAACACACACCAGTCAGCCGCATGGAGAAATTCGTTGGCCGGAGCTCGAAATCGAAATCAATTGAATTAAAAGCCACGGCGACGGCCACGACGAAACCGCGTTTAACTCGCGGAGACGGATCTGTGGATTCCGCTGAATCGAGCGGCGTGAGCTGCGATTTCCAACTGAGCGGATGGAGGCTGTTCCACTTGTTGCTGCCTGCCGGAGCTTTCTCTCTCGGAGCTTTCTCAAGCTTCGCCATATTCCCCTGAAGATTTGAATACAACAATCAAGTTCGAGCACTAATAGTATATTTATATTGCATAAATAAGGGGGTTAGCCTCTGGGCAGCTTGCAGTTCTTGTGGTCATGATTCCAAATCACAGCTAAATGCATGGGCATCCTAAAAGCTAATTGCATTGTGCTAGTCGTATCTACTTGGGCAGCGTTTCATGTATAGGGAATACACCTTCTAAACTCTCTCAATCTGGACAAATCGCTCGCGCTTGTACTGATCGTAGTAGCTGGACAGAAACTTGAGCCGGCCCTCATACTTCAGGTTCATAATGGTCTTGACCAGCGGGGGATGTTCGTTGCCGAGCTCGAGCCACAGTTGTCCACCCGGGTGCAGGTGGCAGCAGGCTAGCTCAAAGACCAGTCGAGCTACTCTTAAACCATCGGAACCCCCATCCAGGGCATTCAGATTCTCATAGCTGGAATAATGGAAACCAATAACCGGCCATCTCATGCAACTGCACTCCACTACTCACACAACGACCTCTGGATGCAGGTACTGAAACTCGTCCGTCTTGACATACGGCGGATTGGAAATGATTAAGTCATACTTCTGGTCCTTCAGCTCCTCCGGCATGTACTTGTCCTCCTCCATGGTGTGGTTGTGCACACTGAAGCGACCCTCTAGACCCAACAGCTTGGCATTCTCCGCCGCCAGAACTGTGGCCGCCTTGCTCCTCTCGATGGCAGTGGATACCACCTGTGGTAGGGTGTGCAGCATAGACAGGGACATGGCACCCGAGCCACAGCCAACTTCCAGCATGTTGACGTGCTTGGCATCCTTGTAGTTCTCGATAACAAGGCGCACAAACTCCTCCGTTTCGGGGCGCGGTATAAAGACAGTGGGAGCCGTTTTCAAAGTGATGTCCATGAAGTCCCACTCCCCGATGATGTGCTGCAGGGGCATTCGCGCACATCGCGCCTCCAGGAAACGCTCGAAGTCCGCTAGCTGCGTTGGATTGAAGTTCAGCTGGGCGAGGGAATCGGGGACCGTGTTCTGTGGACAAAGTTAACCAGGGCAGTCAGTTAAACTGTCTACACTCATTGCATGCGGAGGTACATACGAATTTCCGGTTGAGAACGTGCGAAACAATGCACTTGATGTTGAACTCCGTGTCCTCAATTCCGGCGGCCTTGAGTTTGGCCGGCCATCCCTCCAAGGCCGTGGTTACGGGAACATTGGTCGCATAATTGCAATGCGTAAGTGCGCGTGTTATGCGCAGCGACCGCAATGACAGATTCCTAAGCATAATATTACTTATTACCTAATTGTTTATTAACACAAAATTCCGACCGCCCGCTGACCGGATCGATGTTATCGATGGTATCGATATAACACACAATTGAATATCGCACGAAAATCCAGATTTCTTGTTTCCACCTAGGACTGCATTTCGTCTTGTCTCCCGGAATTTTCAAAAATCAATTTTGAAAATGTATTCTCGTAATATACATGTCTTAAAGTCAATTCGACAGTTTATTTGAAGTTTGACTCAAAGTCTAAACGACGCGTTAGAGCATTTGTAAGTAGCACTTGAACATTAACCCCGTTTTTCTAAAATTTGTATTCGGGGTATTCCCTTGACGACTGAATGACGAATATCTGAATATATTGACGATGAATCGCGATAATTAGCTGATATTTCCAACTGAAAACAGCTGTTCCAATAAAAATTTCTGAAAATATCGGCTAACTATCGCCATATATCACCGATATATTCAGTAATTCGTTTTTCAGTCGCTTTCGAGTTCGTATAAATCAAAGTTTTGGACTGCTACATAAAATGTCTTAAGATTGTAGAGCCAGCTAAAAATATCGACTTACTATCGCGATACATCGTCGATATTTTCAGTAACTCAGTCGTCAAGAGATTAGAATACCCAGAATAATTTAATGAAAGCTAGCTTCGTGTTAATAGTCGGAAGAAGCAGCCGTTATGCAGATTGTCACTCTTGATCAAGGGACCCTTTCATGTCACCCAAGGCCATTTCAGCCCAAATTGACAACGAAATTTCATCCGGAAAGGATCGCCGTAGACTTCAAGAGGCAGGATTTCTGAACGTATGTACATATTGTACATATGACCCTAAAGTTTTCATTACTTCGAGAACAAAATTGGCGTAAATCATTTGACATTGGGGTCGAAATTATTCCAATATGTATGTGCTTCCTCCCTCGTATGTATTTCCATAATATTTTCATAAGAAATGGTTCACTGTTTGTTGGATGTACTTACAATTTTTATATTTTACAACATATTAAAATATTCATATTATATATGCATATTATTGTATATATTCACATTACAATTGCACAATTAATTGCCAAAACGAAAAAACAACGGGCATAAAGGGGTATAATGGGGTTACAGTTAGACAAGGCGTTCCTTTTAAGTACTGAAATTCTTTAAATTTTCATGTCGGCATTCTAAAGTCGGGGAAACCATTACGATCTAAACACTCTAAAAGGAAAATGTACAAATATAATCGAAACAACTACTATCCGTCGATCAGTCTATGCTTCGATGCTGTCCCCTCCACGAATTACAGGTGTCCGGGCAGGGGGTCGCGGGTGTCTCGCAGGTATAGAGGGCTGGTGAACGACTTGCCCTCGACCTGCGAGGCGAGATTCTCCCCGGCGTAAGTGAGAAACGGTGAGATCTCGCAGACGTCGCCGTGGATTATGCCGCCAGCCTTTTCGATATACTTCTTATGCAGCCGATGGAGGTCCGATCGGGCCGTGCTGGGACAGTCCTTTCCCGCTACATCGGAGTTTTTCAAGGCACTAAACTCCTCGTCACGCGGCACCTCCATTGCAACGAATTTCTGGGCAAACTCGAAAACGTCGAAAACAAACTTTTCAATCTTAATGCCATTGGGCTTGTCAGGCGTTAGCCGCTTGCCAGCGTTGTCGACAAAAGGGATCTTCTTCTTAGCCACGTGGAGCTTTAACTCCTGCTCGTAGGTGCTACCGATTTTCTGGAGGAAGGTCGAGCTGAAGAAGTGGTTACATATGTTCCCAGCACTGAAGGTCAGCCGGCCGTCCGAGTTACGCATCTCGGCTGTTTTGGCTGAGATCTCGCTGTACTCCACCACCTGATACTTCCCATCAACAATGGCCACCACTCCGACAGCCTCGTTGGGAGCTGCCTTCTCAACCACCTTAGCGGCGCAGTCGGCCTTCTCCTGCACACAGTAACCAATGAAGACGGGATCCGCCACCTTGATAAGAATGTTATCCACGCTGTGGGCGTGCAGGTACAAGACACCTCGCTTCCGCATGTCGTCCAGGATGCCTTGGCGTTTCATCGCCCGGTATATGCCTCCGTTGCCATCCGGTGCGCGCGCCACCCGATGTTTCTTATCCAGAATGATGCGTCCATCGTATTCGAAGCACGGCAGCGATCCTTGCTCGAACAATAGAACGTTCTCTGGCTTCAAACCGAAAAACTTATTGGCCACAAAGTAGTCGTAAGTGGGTTGCACTGTGTGCTCTGACGTCATTATGTACCAGACGATGTGACCATGGTCGCCATTCGCCTCCTGGGCCAGTTCCTCCAGCCTTAGGATGCGCTCAGCTTGAATGCGGAATAGCGTTTTTCGGGACTGCAATCCCACGTCGTACATTCCCTTTGGATGATCAAACCCAAGTCGTGTGCCTGCAATAACAGAAGATTGAAAAATATAACATAAAATATCAAAATAGTGGCGAGATTCTATTTAAAAGGAAATTGGTTCAAAACAGCAGCTTGCTCTTGCAACCTTTGCAGGGAATTTTAATTTTAGTCGGAAGTTTGCAACGCAGGAGGCTCTGCCTACCTTATAACGTATACATATTCTAGATCAGCATCAACAGCCGAGTCGATCTAGACATGTGCATCTGTCATTTTTTACCCAAACTAGTCCCTCAATCTGAATACAATTTTTCAGATAGTGTTCTCGCTATTCTCCCTACTATATAAATATGTCGGAACCGGCCGGATCGGACGACTATATCATACAGCTGCCATAGAACCGATCGGAAAATTCTTAGAAAAAAAATGTATAACTTTGATGCTTTTTTTATTTTTTATCTACCTTGAGATGGCCATACATTTTGTATTATTTTAGAATTTTGGTTTTAATTTGATGAACATTTTATGACTATATGGCAGACTATATGACTTTATGGCAGAACGATGTATAGGTAATTAAGTTTTATAATTAATATTATATTAGATATTTTATACTCAGAATATAGTTATTTTTACTATTTAAAGATAATGTTTTTGAAACTTTATTAAAACCAAATAATTATATGCTTTGTATAAATATATACATATATCTTTTCTATATCTCCTGTTAGTTTTTCTATTTATATGACCGAAATTGATCGATTCTTAATGGTCCAATTGCAAACTGCAAGGCCAGACAAATTTCGGCGTACCGAAGTTAGCCTCCTTTTTTGATTTTTTTTTTTATACCAAGCACCCTTGGGTATTATTTAACGAAAGAAATACAAGCAGGAACCGTCAACCGTTCGTTAACTTTACAAAATATTCAGTGCTTCTGCAGAGAATACCCACAGACACGGATTCTGCCCTGCCTCATACATTAAATAATCACTAATTAACAACAGAAAATTCCGCATATTGATATCTCATCCAGTCGACCTTAAAAACAAGTTCGGCCACCGTTTCGCTCTTTACTTTTTTCTCTTTTGTCTGCGTTGATGTTAACATTTAAAAGCGGTTTGACTTAAGGTCAGAACCAATACCAAAGTTTAGTGTATATGTACATTTACGTATAAATATACGAGATGTGCCATCTGTTATTTCGGTATGATAACTTTGAATACGTCTAAAAAAGAAGCCATAAATATAAAGTTAAAGTGTATTATTAGCAATATTTGTTACGAGCAATATTTAACAAACGACTAGTAAATGATATTTCTTGGTAATCCATCCTTTATTTGTTATGGCCAAACTTGACTTTTCAAATAACCCAGCATTAAAATTCCCGAGTAAATGTAGGAGATTTTGGTTACCTCTTTTCCGAACGTTCTTTTCGTTCGAAATACTTTGACTTCTTATGCCTACCCTTTTGTTAAACGTGCCTAAAATATTAATTTAAATTAATAGGTTTCGTACTCCCCTGCTCTTTCTATTAGGGTCAATACGTGAGTTGACTGACTTCAGTGCAGTTTAATCGTGAAACAGTTAAAGAAATGTCAATGGTAATACTTTGCTCTAAATTCGAACTAAAAGAAGGAAGCTACAAACAGATTGAACACTATACCTGTATCGTTTAATCATATAATTTCATTTCTGTTGTTAATATAATAATAATAAAATATATTTTTGTTTCAAGTTGTATCTTAATATTTAATAATACCCATCATAGGATGGCTATATTATTTCGTGATCCGTTAGCTCTATTTCTCGAATAGAGAATGGCTAAATCTATTGATCTTATTTATCAGATCTTAATTATACATATAAACTCTATGTCTGACGGGTGCAACAAATAAAGTAAATGGATTTAACTCTTTGGCTGGGCGTGTCTTTCGTTACTTTTTTGCCTTGAACACGGAAATACACTTCGAGTTACAACAACAGTCGAGCTGCTGCACAAGTTAAGGCTAATTGAGTTTGAGTGTGCTCGATGGAGCAGTGTCGTTGTACATATCAAGTTGTATATCAAGTAAATGCGCTTTATAAAAGAACACGCACACACAGACAATGCAACGTTGTTGGTCTTGTAATAATGAAGTTGTTGTAAAGTGTCGATGTTTCACACTGGATTGTAATGATTGAGTAATTATCAAATTATAACGCAATGTACAGTCGAAAACATTATTTACACACCAAAGGCATAATCTAAAGAGATCAATAAGTCGAATCTATCAGTTTGACCCGAATAAGTAACATGCATTTTTGATTTCAACCAGATTACTCAGAAGCAGAGAGCAAAAATAGGGCTTTTAGTATTTCATTAACAAGTATTTTGTTGTTGGCACACTCGACCAGTATTCAATTTTCTTCTTGTGATACATATGTGATATAAATTGATCTCCTGTTTGATATATCAGACCAATATAATCGAAGAAAGACTAATAAGTTATATCATTCGATAATGTCGATATTTTAAGGTTAAATGCTTATTTCTTTATATTTTAAATTCGGAAATAACAATATATACCGGTGATTTTCCTCTCGATATATGTACAGCCATTACCTACCTTGTCCTCCCGCCATTAGCAGCACAGCGACATGGCCGTTGCTGATCTGTCGGAGACCCTCGGCTCGGTATGCGGCCAACTTTTCAGCAGGAGCTCTATCGATGGATATCAGCTTGCCCTCGGGCAGCGGTTGCAGGCGGTCGTCTAGCTTAATGCCATTTTCGTTAATAGAAACTATAGCTTTGTCGAAGTATAGCTTGATTTCGTCCAGATTCAGCTCTTCTATGTCACGCACTAGCTCGGCGCGTTCTTTTTGTGAGAGCTCCGGCC